GCTACAGGTGGCCTTAATTCGGGCGCTCAATTCTTTTTCCCTGGACCAGTGTTTTCCTAATAATTTCAGCTATATAACCCAATACATAACACAGACAAAAGCAATAGCTGTTCTGACTTAAGTCAAGAGAGGGTGAGTACGTACAGCCGCACCAGCTCAGCTCTGCAAGGAAGCTTAGGGGCTCTGTGCACCAATATGAAAAATCAGTCCCAGACCAGTGTGACCCACAGACCCCCTAGAAGTCTCCAAGAGCCCTTTCAGGAAATCCATGAGGTTAATCATCACCTGTCTGTCAATCTGTCACACTGTGATGGCCTCTGCAATGCTATGATGCTGGAGGCTATGTTACCTGTACTTCAAATACAATCAAGGTCACCCATGATATAAACAGGTTTCAGCGGAGCTTCTAGACTAAGACAGACTAGGATGAAAGGCCTGGAGATCTGGCTCTAAAAATTAGTCAGAGAAAATTTTATGGATCACAGCAGAACACTGTCCAATTCACTTGCTTTGGATACACCACCAGGAGTGGTCATTAGACCTCTACTTCACCAAACATGATGCTAGAGGACATCACGTTTGGAGAAGTACAGGACTAATGAGGATGTGGGAGACCCTCGGTGAGATGGACTGGCACAACCTGCCCCAACAATGGACTTCAACACAGGACCAGGCAATAGTTGTATATACTATCATGATGAGTTGCAGTCGACGTGACTGATGGTAGTTTGTAACAACCACAACAACTACATGAAGTCAAAATTTTTCACAAAACTAAAATATAATTTGTCTTTTTACCATGTTGACCTCTGCACTGAGGTACAAAAGCGATGGTCCTGGCTATTTACAATAGCAAAAAGATGGAAACAACCTACGCACCCATCAACAGAACAACGGATAACCAAACATACATACAATGTGGTACATACACACAACGGAATACTGTTGTTGCTGTTGTTGTTATGTGCCGTCGAGTAGGATCCGACTCATGGCAACCCCTTCTTGGGTTACCGAGGCGGTATCACTACAGAAATAGATTGCCCAACCTTCCTTCCGAGGAGTGGCTGGTGGGTTTGAACCGCCAGCCTTCTGGTTAGCAGTCAAGTGCATTAGGCACTAT